TCCCTACAAATTGAGGCAGGACATACGCAAACTAACAACTTCAGCCCTTTTTTCCTCTCATATCTAGGAGCCACCGATGCCGTTTTGCCCACCTGCACGGTGTAACTGCCCACAGTAGTGGCACGTTTGAAACGTCTTCCTTGCTGATGGGACATCATAAACAGAGGAGCCAAACGCTGCTCCATCAGTCTTGCAAAGCTCTGATTGTTCAGTCCCAGCAGTGCAATATCAACCCCTTGAATAACTGTGCAAGCAGAGGAAAATCACATGTCAGCACGTCTTTCACGGACAAATGAAGTAACGTGGTCTGCAGGACCGTTTGGGACAGGGATGTACTGACTAGAAGAAGAATAGACGGACGCTGTTACAGCCCCTCAGTAATTCCCAATGGGGATATAATGTGCTTCTGTTTCAGACCCTGCACTGCTCTTCTCAGATAATGTCAACAATTTCAGAGAACAAAATCCTCCAAAAGCTGTCTTCAGGCTTCAGTTTACCAAAACGGCTCCAGGAAGCACCTAATCAATGATCTTCAACGTAAAAAGTAGCTTAAAACCTGTTTGGGAGCTTCCTGGTTTTATGCTTATTGCTAGATTCTCCTGTTAACTGAAGACAGCTTTTCATCCAGCACTTTTGAAGACTGAAGTTAAGATTTTGTACAATTTAGTTCAAAACAAAATGTATATTTGAGAGCACTGAAAGCCAAATAAACATTTCCTAAGTACAAACGAATTTAAAATTCACATGAAGTTCAAAAAAAGGGACATGGCATGCTAATTTAATGCATACATAGGTATGATTTTTTTAATATTACTTTAAAAATCTTTGGGACCACCATATTTGTTGGGTTTTTTTAAACAGTGTTTCCATTGTAATATCAATAATAGCCCATTGCAGTAAGAAATGCAAGAAATGGGGTATTGGGTTCATGGGATCCAAATGAGGAGGAGCTGTACCATTCCCTTCAGAGAATCATTGCCTCTGAATAAACTTATTTTTTATCTCAAGATTATGATTAGATGTAACTGGTATCAAATCACACCACCTTTTGGAAACACAGTGTAGAATTGAATCTGTTTTATGTCAGGCTCCTTTTTCTTGCTCTCCTAAGCATTAAACAATTCCAGGTACTGCCACACTGATTAGAAGGGCTGTGGTATCTATTCACTCTCAGATGCCTAGGGGAAAGGGTCTCCTTCTTGCCTACTTATCACTTCTAAAGTCAAAACAGTTGGAGTAAGAATATGATGCTAGTGAAATGATTGTGATAAAACAAGTGAAGCCTAATAGCATTCTCTGCACCTTCTTTTCCAGCAACAGAAAGTTGTGTGCTTAATGCTTCAGTGAAAGATGCAAAAATTCCTGGACCTAAACAGTCAGCAAATTGTAACAGATTTCCTCAATTTTAACAGACCACCTTTCTCGCTGGGTTATGTCTACAAGCCTCTCGATTTCAGATCTAAATCCTGGTCCCAGGAAAAACAAAAACCCCATCAGTGTTTTAAAACTTTGAGAAGATAATGCTGCTATCAGAAGCACTTAAACCAAAGTGGCATAAATTCTGAGATGGGTGTTGGACACAGGAGAAGTCTTCTGTTCCAGATGTTGCAATGCCCCAGAGTAACTGCAAATGCCTTTGCCTTTAGGTAGGTGCAGCAGGCAGCCACTTATTTCTATGTAAAATTACTGCACCACTGTGTTTACATAAATGAGTACTAAAAATTATTGTTATTTGAAGTGCATGGAGGAGGGAAGGAGATAAAAAATTACCTGTTATCACCCAGTAGTCTCTAGTTGACTCTGAGACATCAAGGTTTGGATATTCCAAAGCTTAAAAAAATAAAAGTTGAAATTATGTTCTAATATTCCAACATCCTACACATTATATGTCCCAAAAGTGGTTAACCAGACAGTGATAAATAAAATTGAACTATGGCCCAGAAGAAGATATAGAGGCATAATTTTCAGGGTTACAATTTCTCTTGTCTGAAGAGGACATAAAGTGTAAGCAAGCACTGCAGTACAAAGTAGAACATCTTACGTTGCCAGATTATTGGCTTGTACCTTGTCTAGGGCAAAGCCCAGGATTGCCCATTACTAAAAATGATGGATAACGTACATGTGCTTATGTTATACACTGCTTTCTCTCTAAGAGTAATCTCCTGGGGCAAACAAAATAAGAATCTACGATGATTCTGTGATTCAATCCTTACTTAAGCCAGACCACAATTTTAACCTAAAATAGTATTAAAATAAACCAGGATCACATTCCACCAATCACAGAGTGCAGTTCCACAGGAATAGATCTATGCGATGCAAAAAGCATTAACACTTGGAACTTAATAGAGAAAATATCCATGTGTTGCATGTTGAGACACTGCTATTGAGTTACCTTGATTTTTAAACTCCAAAGTGGATTCCAATAGTACCCATTGTCAAGGGTCTGATTATACACAGCAAGTGCTTTTGAGGAAGGATTTCACGGCGTGTCCCAAGCTGTGCATTTCCATGACAGACTGCAAAGGCTCTGGAGGAGCCGACGGAGTCTGCTGGTAAATAACACGCTCTGAGAGCAGACACGGTATTTGTTTGATAAACTGAAACAACTACACTGCCACATGAATGAGCATCAAACACTTTTCGAAGTAAAACATTTTCGTAAGACGTGCTGTCAGTCTGAAGCCATAAACACTACGTGGCATTAAGTTCATGAGTTTGAAGTGTTTGCTGCACTGCAATAAAACAAAGAACTCCAGAATGAAATATAAGCCATTAGTTGTTAAAGGAGCTGATGACTTTATCAGGTCAGTTCATCATGTGCGGGGATGTCACGGTTTAAGCCCAGACAGTAACTCAGAACCACGCAGCCGCTCACTCACTCCCTTCCCTTCTTCTCCCCTGCTCCCAGAGGGATGGGGAGGAGAACTGGAGGAATGTAACTCCCACGGGTTGAGATAACAGCTCTCCAGTAACTAAGGTATAATACAAACCACTACTGCTACCAATAATAATGATAAGGGAAATAACAAGGGGAGAGGACACAACCGCTCACCACCCGCCGACCGATACCCAGCCCGACCTGAGCAGCGATCTGGGCCTTCCGGGTGACTCCCCCCAGTTTCTATACTGGGCATGACGTGCTGTGGTATGGAATACCCCTTTGGCCAGTTTGGGTCAGGTGTCCTGTCTCTGCTTCCTCCCAGCTTCTTGTGCCCATCCTCATTGGCCGAGCATGAGACTAGAAGTCCTTGATTGGAGTAAACATGACTTAGCAACAACTAAAAACATCAGTGTGTTATCAGCGTTGTTCTCAGACTGAAAGTCAAAAACACAGCACTGCACCAGCTACTGAGAAGGAGAAAAAATGACTGCTGTAGCTGAACCCAGGACAGGAGATCAACAGAGAGCTGCAATGCCACATGAGACTCTTACATTGTGTCAAAAAGCTTTCACAGCTCCTGACTATCAAGCTGTTTGCCTGCATCGCCTTTGTGAGAAGCACCATAATCCTTTTGCTATGCAACAGGCCTCTTTTGGAGGGCAAACGCTTGAACTGAGTGCAGTTATCATCAAAACTTCCTTAGGCTTTCTCCTTGTGCTCCTGGATGCCCCATAAAGACAAATCCTGCACACAGACTCACCCACTAGCCACAGAAAGGAAGAACCCTGTCTGATGATGAATGGTCTACATCCCTTTCAAGGTCCCCAAGCATAACCTTTGTCAACAGCCTCTCCTTGCCCTTGGAAAGACTTAACAAAAAGACTTAGCCTGGAAAGTCTGATGCCAAAGTGCACCAATGCAGTGCAAGAATTCATCACTGGGCAGTGTCACCAACTGTTTGCATATATCTGATTTAGACAAGTAATGCTTCAAGAATAATATACGCTCATTCTTTTCCAAGGATTTGCACAATCACCAGAGTTAGCTGTGATTCCACCAGAGAGTGAGCACTTACCCCACAGACAGCTCATTGTCAAGTAACGAAGAATTGCGCAAGATAATTAACACTGCTTTGGGGCTGTTTGCAAATAAAACAGATTGACAAAAAGGGTAACTTGTGTTTTCCCCAGGGCTCACTTTCCAGCAGCCTGGTTCTGCTTTTTTTTAGAATCAGAAAATGAACAAGCACCTTCGCCTAAAGCTATGAACTCGCTCAGTTCAGTGTTCTGACCATAAAGACATATTTGGCTTTACTCTTATGTTCCCGATTATTTCAATAGTTATGAAATGAAAAATTACAAACTACTCCATCACTGGTTTATCCTTACCAGTGAGTCTGATAGCTACCAGAAGCTCAGCCAGATCTTTACTGATATTTGAACACAGTATTTCAAATTTCACAAGCATCTTGTGCAGACTTACACACAGTGAGATCAGCTGAAATCCAGGCTTCCTTAACCAGAGCCCGTTACCATACACTGATGTACCCTGCATGTCCCTGTCTCCTCTCACCTCCAGTGAACACTGGTCTCCTCCAGTGAACAGATAACATGGCTCTGCAGTGAGCTTAATTTCACACAGCAAGTTTAATGACCAAATTAAACAGAAATCCTTGTAATCAAAGATGCTGTCCCTTTATTTATCTTAGAGGGATTAGCATGCAGAGCCACAGAGCATCTATGCCACACAGGCTGTCCAGACACACAGCTTTCTCTAGCTCTCTGTAACTCCAACCCTCCGTAACATTTGAAATGCAAGGAAATTACTGATGCTACAGTGCTTAGACAACATTTTAAACTGAGGACAAAGTTCAGCAAATACACAACAGCTTTTTAAATGGAGAAGCTTAAGATGGAGCTCACCCACTATCCAAAAACACACACACACAGTGTGGTACACAGTCCTACCATTAGAGCAAGCCCAGGAGATGAGCTGAGCTGAGCCTTTCACCAAAGCAAAAGGCTATGCTGAAGAAGAACTTCGTGTGCTGTGCTAAGTCTCTGAGAAATGGAGAACTGGGAACATTCTGTGTTTTGTTTTATATAAAACTACAATTTTATTCTGTTTGGAACCTGGTACATACAATTATTTTAATTAATGACAGCATATATGTGTTTTTCCTAACTATCTGCCAGTGTTTCCAGCAGGCAAAGTAAACACTGAACCCAGACCCCACCACCACCTAATACTCCCCATCTTGGTTTTTTTCTTTTTTCTTTTTAATGACTTAAAAGCAGTCATCAAAACTACCTACAATCTGTGAGCTTGACAACAAAGCTGGTAGTGCTTTCAAAGCAAAAAGCTAATCTTAAGAACCTATGTGCTGGGAAGTGCATACTTACACTCTGCAATGGTGAGAGGTGGGTAGGTTAGGTAGAAACCCACCAGCTCAGCTGACAGCTGATTAAGAAGGTTGCTAGAAATAGTGCCATTTAGAGTTGTGCTTTGATTGTTCACTACATAAAACAGAGTGACAGCTTGGGAGACATTGGAGGTGTTCAAAATCTGAAACAAAGGTAAAGAAATAATGTGTTATTTCTGAGCCATTAAACAGAGCCATGTTTCAGCTCAGTCAAAAAAAAACAAAACAAAACAAAACAAACCCCATACAAAAAAAGAACCAACCAAACCAGTGCAAACAAACTGGAGAAATGTTAACTTGAACAACGGATTAGGTACAGCTCACTCAACATGACTCTGTAAAACTTTACGTGTGTGATATTTCAATTCCTACTTCAGCACATGCAGAGCTAGAGAAGGACCGCAACAGGTTGAAACAGCAGTCAGGACTTGCTTCCAAGACCACCATCCAAGACTTCCTAAGTTGGCAATACCCACAAAATCCACACCACTGCCATCTTCTAGGGCTGTTTCCAAAACTGCCTGGGTGCTTTGTGAGATCTGACACTTCTGCCATGAGTAGATCACCGACCATGAAGTGCCACTCAGCATCACAGCTCCAGCTACTGAAAAGCTCAGTAAACACTTTACCTACTGCAGAGGATTACCTCTTATCATGCACTTTTCTGCCTCTCTGAGCTCCTCCAGCTTGAACACAAGCTCACAAGAAACAGTACCAAAGTAACTAAGCAGAGTTCCCGTGATCAATTTTCTCCCTCTGCTAAGCTCTGTGCAAAGTATTCTGGGGAGCACAAGTACACACACAGAGTTTTATCATAATTCAAATATGTATCATAATATCACCCAGAGGATAATTTCTGTGCCATAAGTCAGAATTAAAGAGCGTAACAATGTTGGCCTGCTATATATATAAAGGTATGCAAAAATCAGGCCCTTCATAGTGAATTTGGGTCTGCAAGTATGGAACTGGAATGCACACCAAAATAAAAGAAGAAAGAAATATATTCCATTAGTTCAGATCTTACAAAAAGCTACACATATCACTATCTTCATACCTGAACAGCCTCACTGAAAGCAACTAATATGTCAGAATAACATAACCAGTAAAAATATAAATTTGGAATAATGTTTTAATATATATTTGTTTTTATTTGAATTTCGCTGAAATTATTTAACTGCAAACAGTAAAATTCAAATTCATGAAAATAACAGTAAGAGTCTTCTATAAATCATGCATTTATATGTTTTTCTGCAATACATAAAACAATCTTAGTTCAGATAAAAGCATAAACTTATATTTCCATAATGGCTATCAAAGGCGCTACATTGAAACACAAGCATACACATGACACAGAGAGTTTGGCACCAGGCACTGGCAAAGCACACAACGCTGTACCTGAACTGTTAAGTTGCTGCTGGTGTTTAAGACCTTTCTCTCAGCATCCTGAAATGCTCTCTGTAACCGTTGCTCCATGGTCTGAACAAATTTGCATGACTGTATATTGTCTGTTTGACTCACAAACTGCAGCTCTGGAAAAGGAACAACATTGTGCCAATGAGGACAAAATATTCTTGGTTGTGTAGCTCCTGCAATGCCTGACACTTCACAAATTAATGATCACTTTACGAATTAAGCAGGTAAAAATAATGCCACACAAGATCAGTTTATGTCATTCAAGCACTGCACTGAACTACCTGCAGTTAAGACAATTCTTAAATGTAAGAATTGAAATATTAGAGCTGATCCTGTCCACAAATGCACGGAGATTGTTTCTGCAGTCATATATAAGATGGTGAAAAACCAGTTCACTGTACGTACACTTACTACGTGTAGGCAGTACGAGGAATCATTCAAAAACACAAGTTATAATCTTAAATCTTGAAGGTCATCTACTCTTGCAAGACAGAATCAATCATAATATTGTTTCTTATTCTATTTGTGCTAAGAAAATGTACTGATCTTGGTAACTGCAATAAGTTTGTGCATATAACCATATAAGAAGACACATAAGAAATCTTTTTACAGCTGAATGCGTTGTTTTACAGCGCACTGCCCTCTTGTAGCTTACACCGTTCTGCTGCACAGCAACTGCTCTCCCTCCAGCATGGAAGGGTCAAACAGCAACTGTGGCTCAGACCGCTGGGACCTTGGTCAAATCCAACAGGTCCAGCCAGAACAATGTGCATATAGATATCATAGAGCCATGTTTCTCATCTGATCATCCTCAACAGAAACACACGGGTTAATTGACAGGCTGTGCAGTTAAGTCCATTTAATGAAATGCCAGCTCTTAGTCAAGATACTGGTATGACAGCCCTAACACCCTGCCATTTCACCGCAGGTGACAACAGAGTGCCAACAGAGGTGACAGCAGCACGAAGAAGGACAGAGATGCACACACCAGCCATCCTTTTTGTGATGGGAACATCAGCACATGAACCTAAAGCAGAGCTTGTCCTGCTGCTGTGCTGCTGCAGGGGCAGAGGCAGGACGGCAAAGGGGCGGAGAACTGTCCCTGTGCACTGAACAACTAACACACACGCAGGCTCTAGCTCACCCGTCTTCAGCTGGAAGTGGTAGGCTGGAAGGGGCTTCCAGGGCAAGGCCAGGGCCACCACGGAATGCAGATGTGGCACATGCTGCTTCATGTCTGCTGTGGCGTTGCTAACACCGTATGCAAGAAGCCTTTCAGTTACAGCGGCTGGCATAAAAACCAGTCTCCCCTGGGTAACGTAGTAACCAACTGTTAAGTTATTCGCTTGCTCCAGGATTTCAACCTAAAACACACAGGGAAAGATTTCTTTTGTATTTTATCTGCAGTTCAACCACTATTCGATAGGACTTCTCATCCTTAATACAGTTCCCTTGAAGGTTTTTTGTGCTGTAATCCCCAATAAACCCCACAGGATCAGTTAGTGTCCTATCAGACATGGCATTAGCAGACCTGTCCAGAGAGCCTTAGACCCAACCCATACAGCATGTGCTCTGAAGTGGTACAGAATAGCTGATTAGAACAGCTCACATATCTCCAATTTAGGCTGGAGCTTTATTCCTGTGTAGATACGGGGACATTGGACTTATGAATGTAAAAACACAGAGAACTTCCAGCTCCTACTTCACACCTGAAGTTCACTGACTGTGCATGTGTCTGTCACGGCAGGTTTGGAGATTGATTTTTGAAAGGGAAGTTCCCAATATTTGGTTCTTCAACCTCAACTGTCTCTTCTACACCCTTTTCCTATATTGTCCCAGATGGCCAAGCTATCACGTATACAAGTAGAAATGACAACCCACAAGAATAAACATGCTGTGAGCCAGAACAGGAATTTTACCTCAAAATTTTGTATTTTCCCTAAAGTTTAAGTCCTGGAACTGGTCCACCACACTAATTTTTAGCTGGTTTCCTCTGTTAGGTAAAGGCAGCTTCTCTCAGGTTTACAAGAAGGTGGAGGACTAAACCTGACAGCTTTTGCTGCTGCTGAGACTCGCGAATATACAGTTCCCAAGCCAACATCACCCAAACCTGCAGCATTAGAGCATGGGGGCAAAAGTCAGTCTGATGCCCTCTATTTTGAGCAAAATTACTTTTTTTCTTTCCCATCGGCTTGTTGAGTATAACTCATAACAATCTTGGACTCAGCACAAAGCCCTGCCTAACTGCACATGAACCTATGTTGCAGAGCAGAGTGCTCCAGCAACGCACCTGAGCCTGCTCTTTCACACAGCAATGCAGAGGCTCATGCAGTTTAGCTGCAAAGAAATGGACACATCTCCCCCATTTATTTTCAATCAAACATGCTAGCTCCCAGCTCAGGATTTTCATCCCTGAGGAACTGCACTTGTCAAGCGCCGCATTTTCAAGCTAGGGAGTGGACTGACAGCAGTGACATCCCATTTACCAGTCCTGCTCTGGCAATTGATCCAGGCCGAACACAGAAGCACGAGTCCTGAGCTGCAGGGGGAGGAGGGAACTGCTGTCAGTAGTCACTTCCCACAGCATACCAAAAACACATTTGTATTTCTCCCTTCTACTTCATCAGATAAAGTGGTAAAAGCTTTGAAGCAGTCCTTATATTTTGATAGCCCAGAGTGGGTGCCACCTATGCCTGCTTGCCACGGGAAAACCTCAGTGCTCCCCTCTAAGAGGCTTCTTGAATCCAGTGACACCACTGGAGCTGCAGCCAGCTGGGATTCTCTTGGAGGAAGAGCCGTTTCCATGAGATCCTGCAGGCAAGCCAAGCATGCTTACCTGAGCACTGACATTCTGGTTGAAAGCTTGTCTCAGCACCTGGTTGAGTCCTCTTCTCACACTCTCTTTGAAGGAATTGCTGATCAGCATCCTCCTTGTGTTCAGAAACAGAACTGTGGAACAACAAAAGCCACATGCTGGCTTGAGACATTACCAGGCTACTGCTTGCTTTTTAAAACTGTTTTACGTTGGGCCCTGGCTAGATGGAGATCATAAAAGCAGCTAGGATTTGCAGCAGCTCCAAAGCATTAAGAACTGCAGGGTCTCAGCAGTGTCCCTGACTTCCCTGTTCATCCAATGGCAATAGCCCACTGCTTCCAGAGTGAGGTCTAACAAATGCAGTATCTTTAGAAACAACAGTAAACATTTGCCATGCTGCCTTTCTGAGGGAGGTATGATGGCACCCAACAGTCCACAGACACACTGCTGCAGAATTCCCAGGGCACTGAGGTGGTGCTGCACAGGCAGATCTGCATAAAGGATACATGCTTCATACCTTCATGGCCACACTCTTTAAATAAGCAAAGAGGTTTGTCACTCCCCTGCTACAATTACTTTCCATTTAGGAAGTGTCTGTACACTCTATTTATTAACACTATCACCGGGTTTTTCTTTTTCTCTTATAATTTGCAGAGTTTTACAGCTGTACTTAAGTACCTTCAATCATATACCATATACAAGCTACTTGTATCTTTAGAAATAGTTGTTGTACTCATCATGCCACTGATGTAGATATTTAGCAGCTACTAAACACACATTAGGTCCAAAAGCTGCTTATTCCATTGTCCTCAGTATCATTCGGGTCTATACAAGCTTATAAACCTTTATGTAGCTCTTCTTCTTTGCCAAGATCTCTAAGACATGCATCTTCTGGTGCTGTGCTGTGCTACCATAAGGAGTCCTTGGGAAGCCTGGACAAGGGACCTCTCCAGACCCCTTTAGTTTAGAGTTCTTGTAGCTAAGGAAAAGCTGTCTATGAAAAAACAGCTAGAGCCAGGAGCTGTTCACAGAGAAAGCTCGAATTCCTCCCATTTTGAAGTGTACAACTGAAGGTGAAACATCACTTTCAAATGAATCTTTAAGGATAGGATTAGGTGTTCAATCTAAAAACAGAATTAGGTGTTCATATGTGAACAGGGCCAAAGACTGAATCATGTTATTGCACTGTTTTCTTCAGTGAGACAGACTCCTTACTGCAAAGGAGAGACCAAACCATCATGTCCTATGGGGTTGTCCCTCCACACTGCTAGATCCCTGCAGTGACCCACCGAACTTCAGAGCACCTGCCTGATCTCACTACTTCATTTGACATGTTCATTGTAAAATCCAAGCCACAGATAAAGCCAATGCCATTCCTATCTAGCAGCCCTGCTTTTTTGGCCTGGTTTGTCAGTGTGGCAGCCTTGTCCCCAGATTAACCACTAATACCCTCAAACTCTTTGACACTTAAGTGTCTTTCCCACTTATCACCAGTTGCCCCTCACAGACAAGGGAGCAACTTCAGGAAATTCGGTGCTTCCCCCGTACCTGTTTTCACCATCACGTTCCAGGAGAGCCGGCACTCGAGGGGAGGAGCTGCTGTCATGTTAGCGAACGCGAGGGCTGTGCTTTCGGGAGGAGCAGAGGTGTTTCCCACTGGAGTAGGGGGAAGCCTAGTTGTTTTCGCTGATGCTGTAATAGATGTCAAAGCTGCTGTAATTGTCAGTGGATACGGGGTTGACGTTTTGGTGATTTCTGAGCTTGGGAACTTCTGGATGTTAGTTACTGTTGTTTCTATCTGCCTTGGTACATGTGCTGTGGGTACAAGTGTGGGAGCTATGACCGTGCTGCTTTTAGGGGTTATGAGCATAGCTGTCAGGTCCGCAGGTGAGGCAGTTGTGTTCCTTGTTGCCAAAGGAAAATCTGTATGTGTTCCTACTGAGCTTAGTTGCAATGTCAGTTTTGTGGCAGTGTTATTTTTTGTTAGTGTCAGCATCGATGTGCTTAAAGCCATCACAGATGGCAAAGGTGTGTTTTCAGTGCCTAGAGAAAAGAAGGAAGAAGCTGGCACTGGTGAAGCTGGAGATGATTTTCTTGTTAGTGGTTTTGCTTCTGAAGTTCCTACTGTAGGTATTGCACCAGAAGATACTCCAGATAACACTGTAATGACAGAATGGGTAAAGTTGGTTGTTGACAAAAGAGAAGTTAGTTGTGTTGGTGATGCATGGACAGAAGTTATGATGACTGACTGCAGAGCACTGGTGGTAGGGGTTTGCAATGGGATGCCCTCGGTAGCTTTATTAGATATATTACTGGGAACTAAACTATGTCTTGCGGCACTTGTGTCCCATTCCTCCACACTAAATGTAGCTGGAATTTTATCAGCCATAACCAAATAACCAGAGGACTGTAATTGGTTGTCTGCAAACTCTGGCAAACTTCCAGAACTGATGTCTTCTTCTATAATAAAATTATGCAAGAGAACTGAGCTAGAAGGCTTAGTTACAGGTGAGGGGGACCCAGTTGACAGCGTGCTGTGGATGGCACTGCTTTCATTACTGCCTGAAAGAGTTAAGTTGTCAGTGAGCTGAAAAGCCAACATTGGTGGTGTGCCTAAGGGTTTTGTCAGTAGAGCAGTTTTTCCAGCATCAGTTGTTTGGGACTCTAGAGAGCTGGGGAAAATCCCTGTATCATTAACAGAAAGCACATGTAAATCGAGAGGTGCTTCATAGTGTATACCAACACGAACATCTTCAACAGTGAAGAAAGGAGCAGTGTTTCCAGCTGTGCTTCCATGCCTTTTCTGAAGGGGGTCAGGCACTGCCAAAGTGGTAGCAAGGGTTGAATACTGAACAGGAAATGTTTTCAGTGCAAACGCACCTACATCAAATTCTGGAGAACTATTTGACTTAGTACCAGCAAAGGGTGAATCTGAAGTATTTTGTTGAGAGTTTGCATACGTATAGTTTGCTGAAGGGGTGGAGAAGAATGGCTGCTTATTTGTATTAATTTTCTTTTGCAGACTTGAAACTGCTGAGTATGGTGCACGGTACTCAGTTTCCAGTGGAGAAGTACTTGGAGGAACTTGTCTTACTGCTGTTTCGACTGAAGTTTTTACCAAAGGAGTATGAATATCAGCTGAAGACAGCAATGCTGTATCAGTCCACGTAGAAGCTGAAGCTGTGGCTTCAGGAGAGCTGACAAGATCTGAATTGCTTTCGGAGTCTGCATTCGAAATCCCGGAAAAGCCTGAGCTGTGGCTGTCCATCACTGTTGTCATGGAAACCAGTGATGGCAGCATATTCCATGCTGGAGGCACAACAACAGTGAGTGGCTTTCTATCAACTGAACGTGAAGTCTGATCATAGGTAAAATGATTTAAAGATCTCAGAGGTGAATATTCTGCATGTGGGGTCACAAGAGTGGGTACTCTCATATTTCTGTCTTCATTTGCAGTTAGAGCTGGACTTTCTGCATCTCCAGGTGGAAGATGTGCAGTCACAAAGATATTAGCAGCAGATGTATTTGTGATAGCAGGTTCAGGTTTTGAAAGGCTTGTAGTGGAATTAATTAACAGCACTGCAGCTAGACCAGTACTAGTCATGGCTGCTTCCAAAACAGTGCCTAGTATCTTTGATCCCTTAGGTAGTTTACTGGTTTGGATATCTGGAGAAACTTTGGAAACCTGAGATTCATAAGGCAGAACACTATTACCACTAAAATTCATGGACATATTTGCTGTCACCTGTTTTGTGAAAGGCTGTTGAGCTGTTCTTACCACAGGAAAGCCATCAAAAGTTGGGAGAGCATTTGGAGAGGCAGCTGGCAGTTGCAGGCCATTTGCTTCATAAGCTGCATCAGACATGTCTTCTGCAAGAGTCTGATTCAGAGCCACCACTGATTGCTGTGAGGGAACAGCCAGAGGGATTTGCAAAGTGTCCTCATCAGCTGCTGCCATGCTAGGACTGCGTGCTGTCCTAGTAGAGGTGCCATTTGTCTTGGTTAGAAAGGGAGATCTTGTGCTGGTTGAAGAGGAATGTGCTGCATTTCTAAAAAGAAAATCTATTTCGCTTCTGAATGATGGCACTGGATTGCCAGCATGCTTTGCACCTGGAACATGCAATTTCAGCAGTGAAAGGGAAGATGTGCTCTCTGTTGAGATGAAGACCCCAGCCAGGCTCTCAGAAGCTGATGATATGGAAGGTGCACCGGTAAAGCCTGTACTGCCGTTAGTCAGTGCTGTGGAAGTCTGAAGATGACTCGTTAGATGTGGAATACTCACAGAATGGAAGACTGATGTAGGAATGTCTGCTTTATTCTGAAAAACTGATGATGACAGAGGAGTGATATCACTGTTTCTGTCAGCCAGCACTGCCTTAAGTGGCTGACTGTTTGGTTTTACTCCAGTAGAAGATATATTATATATACTCTCATTAGGAAACCATGACAGGCTTCTGGAAGTGAGTGACAGGGAAGGCTGATACGGTTTTGACACCGGAATATCAGAGTATACAGACAAAAAAGAGGTCCTTTCTGAAGGAGACCTTTTTCCCACTGTTTTAGTGAAATACACTGTTGTTGCTCCAAAGAGGTCGGAAGGCATGGTACCTGTAAACAACCCTGGACCCTTTCTGTGATTCACCACACTGGAATGTACTACAGTGACCATGCTTAGAGGACTAGTTCTGCTTTCACTAACCTGTGATCTGGCTGAATCTGTGTTGAAGAAACCTTCAGGATCTGCAGACAAAGGTACTTTGATGGGCAGGACAGCTGGTTTAGAAAAGTTAATGGTATGAGGTGACTGAATGACCAGTGAGGAGGATGATGGTGATGGAATAGCAGCAAACATGTTTGATCCTGCTGTGCTTTCTTTTGAAATGGAGGGTGTTTCTAATGGTATTAGCTGAAATGGCACAGCGGTACTCAAATGTGTCACTGATGGTGTAGTGGACAATGTGGCAAACATACCAAGTTGAGGCAAACCTGATACATCGGCTGTTTCATCTGCATCTTGAGGTGATGACCTCAGAGGTGACTCAGCTGAAACTTCAGTGGGTTCCTGGGATGCGCTGTTTCCACTGCCTTGATAAAGTGTGGGCAACAGGTAAGTTTGATCCACAGTCCTGGTACGCGTGCCAGTCAGTGTTGTTTTTATCATCTGAAGCAAGTTTGCATTCTCCAAGGTCTGTCCCATAGAAATATCAGCTAGTGAGGAAGCCCCAGCTTCTGTGGAAGGCCGTGTTGGTGATAGTATAGATCTCCAATTAGGAAAAGATCCTGTAGGAGGAGCAACGCTGATATGCTGTTGCCTGGTACCTGTAAAATAGTAAGTAAAATAAGTATATCCTTTCCCAAAAGGAAGAGGAGTTGTTGTCTTGTAGCAGTAAATGACAACACAAAATGCATTATGTAGAGTAAAATCAGTGAACTTCTCTTGTAGTCAAAGGGCATAAAGATTCAAAGAAAGCTTAAAAAAGAAGAGGCAAAAAAAAAAGCACAAAACCAAGCGAAAGGTACAACTTGACAGATTATAAACCCCTCAGCCCACATCGCCAGACAGAAGAATAAGGAGAGCTTCCTAGACCATACTATTTCAAAATACTTATAACTAGGATGGTTTAACATATTAAAAGACACCTTCTTAAGCTTTGGACAATTCTTGAGGTTATCATCAGTGACCCTGCACCAAAATATTATGTGAGGAGACAGCTTTAGGAGCAGCGTAGAAATGGTACAGATTTTAACAACCACTGGCTTGGCATGCAGTCTGCCACGGGAATAGAGACAGCATTGGCTGTGTTCCTGCAGGACGCATCTGGAGGTGCTCATCTTGCCAGTTCTAATAATGCATGCAATTATAGACACAAAAGGAAGAAAATAAAACAGGGATGAACATGAGGAAAAGGGGGCAACATCCAAAACAAATTAGGAAATTAAACTCCTTTTTTGATATGTGCAGATGTACAACGCATCATTTCAAACACCAGTTTACATTCAACACCATAATGTTCCTAGCCTTTGTTTTCTTAAAGTGATTACAGTTATTCTAAAATTGTAGCATGGGAAATCTCACATTCTCATTAATTTAAAGATTAAGATGCACTCAAGAGTAAAATTTAAGCGGTCCTTTTTCCCTCCCCTGGGCCAAGATAATCCATCAAAACTCAGTCCTGGCACTTGCGACCACACCAAGCTGTGTCCCCTTGCAATGCTAAACCGAGGTACAATACAGAGCTAATCCCCGCCCTCCAACTGCAGTGCATTTGGATCAGGCACAGAGGATGCCAACTTCCTCCATGCTCTTATGAATAACTCCAGTGTAATGACATGGAAAAGTAAGCAGGGGCAGACCCTTGAGATACATGGTTATAAAATGGGCTGGACATCAGTTCCAGTCACCAATGAACCCAAGGGTCAGAGCCAACAGCACCAGAGGGGATGAGCCCTCCAAAACAGGAGACGGCAGCAGAACACCACACAGCACAAGAGAGGAAAGTGGGTCACGTTGCACCTATTTAAAGCCGAGTCTCTTTCGTGTGATACCCCTGTGCCACACCACCCATCATCCATATGTGCAGGCCAAAGCAGATGATTGGACTAACTCCTTTAGGCTCCTGTGTGCCTTCAACAGGAACATGTTGGAATTCTGTTCAGCATAGCATTTCCACTCTACAAAAAAAAAAAGCACCAAGAAACAAACAAACAAAAATAAACCCCACCAAAAATCCCCCAAACAAACCACAGATCTTTCCTTTCTGTGAGAGCTTTATTAAGCCATGGTGAAGAATGGCCATTATGGTCTTTCCTCCAGTGAAATGCAAGAAATAATTAAGAATCCAGAAGCAATTCGGTTTAGAGGAACAGCTC